CAGAGTTCAGGCCCACGACTGGACCCCCCCCCCCCAAAAAAAATGTCAAGACTTGCCCAGCGAGGAACGGAAGGGGCATGGGGTCCTGGTCCCAGCCAATAGAACCAGCCCTGCCCCTGGCTCTAGAGATTGCCTGTGGCTGGCCATGGAGGCCACAGTCTGCAGCCAGCCTCGTCTGGGATCCCTGTCCTGCCATCACGGGCTCTGGAGCCCTTGGCTGCCTCCCAGTCTGGTTCATCCAGCTCCAACTCTGAGGAAAGGTGGGATGAACTGATGGGAGGTTCTGCTGGACAGGGAGGAGCTGGGCTTACAAGTACAATGGAGTCAGTGAAGATCCCGCTGGACAAGAGAGCTTAGTCCTTATTCCGAGGCCACTGAGCAGTCCCCAGGGCCCTCAAGGGGAAGATGTACCAGCCTTGGTCTGACCTCTGCTGCTGCTGCTCACTTCCAGGTAACCCCCCGAGGCCAAGCCCAGAGTCCGAGGAACCGCGACGGCCGGGCCCAGCGGAACGAGGCAGCAACTCCGGGACACCCAAGCTGATCCAGCGCGCGCTGTTGCGGGGCACGGCCCTGCTTGCCTCACTGGGCCTTGGGCGGGACCTGCAGCCACCAGGGGGCCTGAGCCGAGACCGTGGGGAGTCCCCCACAGTGCCCCCAGTGTCCGTGCCCGCGCCCTGCCCCACTGAGCCACCCTCCACCCCACTCATCCGCCTTTCCCCCAAGATGCCCCACACCCGCAACCAGCCCACCTCAGGGCCTCTGCTGCTGGATCTGGGTGTCACCACTGGCCAACCTTCAGCCAAGAGCCCCCGGCGTGAAGAAACACGAGGTGAGTGACCCTAGGACCAGTGCTGGGATGGTGACCACCAGAGTGGGGAGGGGCCAAGGACTTGCATCTTGGGGCCCTGGAGATACCTGAGCACTGCACTGTATGTTCAGCTGCTGGAGTGGTCGAGGGGGCAGGGTGAGCTAGACCAGCTATGGAACAAGAGAAGTACCAATGACAGACTCCTACTAGGTGGTTACTTATCTGGGTTAATTTTGTAGAGGTTGTCCCATTAATTATAGCAAGGTAGCACATACCTGTAACTCCAGCTGTGGGTCCAGCTCGGGCCAGCCTAAGCTACACAATCAGACTCTGGAAAAAAAGGATCTGTAAACTTATACTCATTTTTTATTTGTTAATTTATGTGTTGGTCATGGGGCTTGAGCTCAAGGATAAGGCTCTGTCCCTGAGCTTTTGTGCTCAAAACTAGTGCTCTACCACTTTGAGCCATAGCTCCACTTCTGGTTTTCTAGTAGTTAAATGGTGATAAGAGTCTCTCTGACTTTCCTGCCCAGGCTGGCTTTGAACTGGAATCCTCAGATCTCAGCCTCCTGAGTAGCTAGGATTACAGGCATTAACTGCTGGCACTTGGCTTTACTTAGCTTTTTTACTTGTAGTTGGTACTCTACCTTTTGAGCCATGCCTCCAATTCCAGGTTTTTTTGTGCCACTCCTAGGGCTTTAACCAAGGGCCTGGGGGCTGTCCTTGAGCCTTTTTTTTACTCCAGACTAGCATTTTACCACTTGAGTCACAGCTCTACTTCCGGAGTTTTGGTGGTTCATTGGAGATAAGAGTCTCACAGACTTGGCTCTTAACCACAAAAGATGAGGAAATTTAAATAATCCAGAAGTTCAGGGGTCTCACAACTTGTAAGTGGATGGGTAAGTTCTGTGTGCTCTACCTGCCAGGTGCTTTATGATTTTTAAAGTTTTTTGATCTAGGGCTGGGAAGGTGACTCAGTGGTAGAGCGCTTGCCTTGCATGCATGAGGCCCTGGTTTGATTCCTCAGCACCACATAAGCCAAAAAAAAAAGCCAGAAGTGGCACTGTGGCTCAAGTGGTAGAGTGCTAGCCTTAAGCTGAAGAGCTGAGGGACAGTGCCCAAGCCCAGAGTTCAGGCCGCATGACCAACCCCCCCCCAAAAAAAAATTTTTTTTTTTTATCTAATTCATTTAATTTTTGGTGTCAGTACTGGAGCTTGAACTCAAGGTCTGGGCACTGTCCCTGAACTTTTCCTGCTCAACACTAGTGCTCTACCATTTAAGCCACAGCTCCATTTCCTTCTTTTTGGTGGCTAAGTAGAGACTAGAGTCTCAAAGACGTTCCTGCTTAGGCTGGCTTTGAACTACAACTCTCAGATCTCAGCCTTCTGAAGAGTGAGGATTCCAGGTGTGAGCCACTGATGGCCAGCTGTCAGGTTCTTCATCCCTTCATGCTAGACAGATGTGCAGTAAACAAAGCATAAAGGATCCCTGAAGTGAGGCGCCAAGCAGCTCCCTTGTAGGAAGAGAAACTGAGGCCTAGAACAGTGCAGGGCCTCCTGGGAACACCTAGGAACTGAGGGGGTCCCTAACCCTGTGCCCCTCCTGCACCCTCATAGGAGGCACCGTCTCACCCCCACCAGGAATATCACGCTCTGCTCCTGGCACCCCTGGCACCCCTCGTTCACCCTTGGGCCTCATCAGCCGACCTCGGCCTTCACCCCTTCGTAGCCGCATTGACCCGTGGAGTTTTGTGTCAGCTGGACCACGGCCTTCACCCCTGCCCTCCCCACAGCCTGCACCCCGACGGGCACCCTGGACCTTGTTCCCGGACTCAGATCCCTTCTGGGACTCCCCACCTGCCAACCCCTTCCGGGGAGGCCCTCAAGACTGCAGGGCGCAGACCAAAGATATGGGTGCCCAGGCCCCCTGGGCACCAGAGGCAGGGCCTTGAGTGGGCCAGGCCACCCGCCACGCTCCAGCTACCTTAGAGGAGACACCGCATACACTGGAATGGGCACCAGGCAGGCCTCTCTATAGCTGCCTTGGTTTCCCCCAGGATCCCCACCACCACCCCCGCTGGGGCGGGGGTGGTCAGGAACACTACACTGCACCGGAAGCCTTCACACTGGATGGGGGGCCTGCACCCCCTTCACCTGCAACCTGGAGGTCCCCCTGACTTCCTGCCCTACTGGGGCCTGACACTGTACCCAGCTGGTTGGGAGGACCAGAGCCTGACTCAGGGAATTGCCCGCAGGGGTGTCCGCAGGGAGGGGAGGTGCAGGGGAGAAAGGCCAACCTCAGCTGTCACCAGCACTTTTGACCAAGTCCTGCCACTGTGGTTCCTGCCCCAGGGCTTAGTTCCTGGACGGCCCCCCTCCCCCCACCCCCTATCCCACCTCTGAAAGTGGTCAGAGGCTGGGATTTTTTGGGTGCCTTCCTGCTGCCCCAGCCAGGGTTGTGGCCTTGGCCTGAGGTTCCAATGAAGCCAAATAAACTTGTAAGCTGTTTTCCCAAGTGCAGCAGGCTGGTGTTGTCATCCCCACCCCCCAGGCACGTGGTTCAGGCCACATCGCTTTGCCACGCGTGCCTCTCAACTTCCCCCAACCACAAACACTAGTTCACTGGTGTTTTCCTCACACTCACTCCACGTCTGCACGTGTTTCCAGTGACTGTATTTATCCCAATCCTCCCTGTTGACCCTGCCTGTCTTCTGCTTGCTGGCCACAGAACCCCCACCCGGTACAGATCTCCCACTTCCCAGAGTCCACAGCCCTCAGGTGACATCCTCAGATTGGCCCTGGGTTGATCTCCAGCCCAGGGTCTGGATCAGCCCAGGGTCTGGATGCTCAAGGAACCATCCCACCACCTCCAGGCATGGTGAGCACCAGACAGGACCATCCCTGGACGTCTGTGTTCTCACACTATGCCCTGGGCCAGCGCCCTTCCTTGGCCTCTGGCACTCAGAATCTGCGGTTGATAGTTAAGAGGGTTGGGCTCCTAGTCTTCCCCTCATCCTAGGGCAAGCAGACAGGCAAGGAGGCTCGAGGGTAGGCCGGAAGCTTGAAACAAACATCACCTGCCTACAGGGCTCTAGTCATCCTTGAGTTCCCGCCCCTCACCTCACTCAGCCCCAGCTGCTGCCACCCCAAATCCCACCATTCCTTTCATCCCTCTGTCTAGGCTACCATCGTACCCCAATATGCCCCAGTATTCCTCTATGGGGCTCCCTGGGCCACACTTAGAGGCGCTTTCCCCAGGGAGCTGGCCCTCCTCCACAGACAGCCCCGCCCTGCCCCCCCCTTAGCTGAGCATCTCCCCCATGGGATTTAGGACAGTATAAAGTTTCAAGTTACTTTGCTCACAGGTTTCTTTTACTCGGCTTGGGCACTGTCCCTGCGCTCTTCAGCTCAAGGTGAGTGCTCTTACCGCTTGAGCCACAGCACCACTTCCAGTTTTCTGAGTGGTTTATTGGAGTTAAGAGTCTCATGGGGGAGGGGGGAGGCTGGGAAGGTGGCTCAGTGGTAGAGCGCTTGCCTTGCATGCCTGAGGCCCTAGGTTCGATTCCTCAGCACCACATAAGCAAAAAGAAAAAAGCCGAAGTGGCGCTGTGGCTCAAGTGGTAGAGCGCCAGCCTTGAGCTGAAGACCTGAGAGACAGCGCCCAGGCGCAGAGTTCAGGCCCCACGACCAGACCCCAAAAAAAGAGTCTCACGGACTTTCTTGCCCCAGCTGGCTTTGAACCACTATCCTCAGATTTCAGCCTCGTGAGTAGCTAGGATTACAGGTGTAACCCATTGCTTCCCTGCTTGCTCACAAGTTTTCTAGGCAAGCACCAGGAGGACACACCTGTGTGCCCCTTCCCTTGTGTCTGAATGGTGAAATGGAGTTTGAGCCTGAGGGAACAAGACCTCGAATAAGTGTGAGGCCCTCACTAGGCCTCGGCTTCCCCACCCTGCCGCCACCCTTACCACAGCACCTTTCTCCGCCGCCCCCACGGCCCCAGCTGCTGGGTCTTGCCCCAGAAACTGGGAGGAGCCCTCCAGCTCCCCTCCCTCCGGTGCACACTCACCCCACTTCTCTCCCAGCCACCCACGCAGCACCTCCTTCCAGCCCCGCCCTGCCCAGCCCCTCCCAGGGGCCTGCGGTGGAGCAGTCAGCTCCCACAGCAGCACCCCAGATTCAGCATCGTGCTATGGGGGGTCTGAGGCCTTGGGCCCGATATCTGCTCCTGCTTGTGGCCCACCTGCTGGCCCTGGGGCTCGGGGCTGTGGTATTCCAGGCCCTGGAGGGCCCTCCAGCACTCCGCCTCCAAGCCCAGCTCAAGGCTGAGCTGGCTACCTTCCTGGCGGAGTATGGGGCCTGCTTGCCACCTGGAGCCCTGGAGGAGCTTCTGGGCACCACCCTGAGAGCACAGTCCCACGGAGTCTCCAGCCTGGCCAACGGCTCAGACACCAGCAACTGGGATCTTCCCTCAGCCCTGCTCTTCACTGCCAGTATCCTCACCACCGCGGGTAGGCCACCATGCCACGCAACCCTAAAGGAGGAGGCTTCTGAGGTCATGACCCCGCCCTCCCCCCACACCCCAGGACCCTAGCAGTGCAGCCCTTCCCCCAGCGCCATAGCGCCAGATGAAGCTCCAGCTCTATCAGGCCTGACATCACCACTGGGGCTCCCCACACCAACACACCCCAACTGGTGCCTCCACTTCAGCTGCCAGAAGGGGTGTGGCCTCCACAGCCTCACCTGAGGCGCTGATCGGGACCCGGGAAAAGTACCTAGTCCACATGATATGGCAGAAAACACACACTGCGGGGTGGATTCTTGGATGGAGGGATGTGGAGGAAACAGAGCAGAAGGAATGTGAGGATGTTCTGATGATGATCTATTCACCAAAGCCACAGGATGCTGACAAAGGATGGAAGAATTCCTGTCTTCAGGAATAGCATGTACTTAGGCCCAGAGAAAGAAAGCAGAGACCCAACCTGGCTTTTGTTGTTCTGCAAATTGCCAAAGAGTTGGGGGAGGGTTGTTTTTTGGATTTTTTTGTCAGTTGTTGGGCTTGAACTCTGGGCCTGGGTGCTGCCCCTCAGCTCTTCAGCTCAAGGTTAGCACTCTACCACTTGAGCCACAGTGCCACTTCCAGTTTTTTCTGGTGGTTGGTTAATTGGAGATGAGTCTCACAGACTTTCCTGCCTTGGTTGGCTCTGAACCACGATCCTCAGATCTCAGCCTCCTAAGTAACTAGGATTACAGGTGTGAGCCATCCATACCTGGCTTCCAAATAGTTTTTGAATCCAAACCTTTATTTCCAATTTCTTTCGGAAACTCAAGAAACAAATTCATCCTGAGCCTGAATCCCTACATGTCAACATACAAGCTAGAACAGGACAGGAACACCTCCACAGAGCCCAGCTTCTCCAGCCACCTCAATACCCTTGTATTATCTCACATCTGGCTTCTGAGGGCATTGCGGTTTGCAACCTCTGGACCAGCTGATCCTGTTATCCCAGCATGCCTTGCTCTCCCACCTCTCCCTTAACACATACTTCTCCAGACCCAAATGCCTTCTCATTCATCCTGCCTCTTTGTAGTCCTTTGTGTTTTCCTGCCTGCTCTCCTACCGTAAGTCAGGGCCTGAGCAAATTCCAGCTCATGGCCTGGCACATAGACAGACGTGATGTCCCTTTGGGAAATGGGTAGAGGACACGCTTATGGACTTGGAAATATAGGTCAAAAGCAGAGCCAAGGAAATCTCTCAGAAAGTCTGGCTCAGCCTGAGGGTGTGGCTAATGGTCCTACACTTGCTTAGCATTCATAAGATCCTGCATTCAATCTCCAGCACCAGAAAACAAGAAAAGGAAAGAACAAATGAAGGAAGGAAGACGGCCAAGATCTCCCAAGACAGGACAGTAGTTGTGAGTTGTCCCAGCTACAACAGGCCTGAGGAATGTATTGTCTTCCTTTAGCCTTTCATTTTCTACGGAAGACAAGAGTGGCCCAGAGGAGTTGAGGGACTTACCCAGGATCCTAGCCAAAGAGCAGAGCCTGAAGAGCATGTGCAATGTGAGCCACTAGAGGGCAGCTTTCTGGCAGGACAATGGGGACCCCTTTTCAAGATCACTGGTAGGTGTCTCTCTCTCCTCCAGGTTATGGCCACATGGCTCCACTATCGGCAGCTGGGAAGGCCTTCTGTGTGGTCTACGCGGCTCTGGGGCTGCCAGCTTCCTTAGCCCTTGTGGCTGCCCTGCAACACTACCTGCTCCCTTCCTTCAGCTGCTTGGGTGTCTGGGCAACTACCCGCTGGCAGCTGACACCAGCCCGGGCTGCGCTGCTTCAGGCTACCGGATTCGGCCTGTTAGTGGCTACCATCTTCGTGCTGCTGCCGGCTCTGGTGCTGTGGGGTGTCCAGGGTGACTGTAGCCTGCTAGAGGCCATCTACTTCTGCTTCGGCTCCCTAAGCACCATTGGCCTGGGAGACCTGCTGCCTGGCCAGGGCCGTGGCCTGCATCCAGGGATTTACCACCTTGGCCAGTTCTCCCTTCTTGGTAAGTCCAGAGCGAAGCGGGGAGATGTTGCGGGGGGGGGCGTGCTTGGACTATGGCTCCCATAAGCCACTGGGGGAGCTGCAACTTACAGTCCAAAGAAACCTAGGGGCAGTGCTGGACGTGGTGCCAGGTGTCGGGGTGTCATCTCACTGGGGAACATCAAGAGCATCCAAGAGCGGCCCTAGCAACCTTTCCTCCCCAGGTTACTTGCTACTAGGACTCCTTGCCATGCTGCTGGCTGTGGAGACCTTCTCTGAGCTGCCACAAGTCCGTGCCATGGTGAAGTTCTTTGGGTCCAGTGGCCCTGTGACAGCTGAGGATCAACATGGCATCCTAAGCCGAGACGAGTTGGATCTGAGCACCCTGCCTCCCCCCACTCCCACCTCAGACCAGACCCCTCCTTGCTGACACGGCACAGGTGCCCAACTTCACCTTCTTTTACGTGAAGGAGCCAGAGGCAGTCATCAGGAGTGCTTGGGGAAGAATCTGGAGATGGGGGAAGTGGAGTGAAGCCAGGGGTATAAATAAGGACCTCAGGGAATAATGTGTTAATAAAAAAAAATTAAAATGGTCATGGTATGCAGTAGACACTATGTGGGAAATGAACTATGCAATTTGTGGGCAGGGATGGGAGGGGGAAACTGGGAGAAAGCGAAGGAAAGGGTGACATTGTCCAAAAAGAAATGCACTCTTCACCTGAGTCATGAAATGGTCACCCCTCTGTACATCACCTTAACAATAACAATAAAATTATAGTTATATTTAAAATTAAATAAAATGGTCCAGGCACCAGTGGCTCATGCCTGTAATCCTAACTACTCAGTATCTGAGACCGGAGGATCCCTGTTGGAATCCAGCCTGGGCAGGAAAGTCCATGAGACTCTTATCTCCAGTTAATTAACAAGGAAAAAAAAAAAAAGCCCAGCACAGTAGTTCACACTTGTAATTCTAGCTACTCAGGAGGCTGAGATCTTTTTTTTCTTTTTGTCGGTCCTGGGGCTTGAGCTCTGGGCCTGGGCGCTGTCCCTCAGCTCTTCAGCTCAAGGCTAGCACTCTACCACTTGAGCTACAGCGCCACTTCCGGTTTTCTGGTGGTTTTTTGGAGATAGGAGTCTCAGGGTCTCTCCTGCCCGGGCTGGCTTTGAACCTCGATCCTTAGATCTCAGCCTCCTGAGTAGCTAGGATTACAGGCGTGAGCCACCAGCGCCTGGCTTGGAGGCTGAGATCTTAAGATCAGGATTCGAAGCCCACTTGGGTAGAAAAGTCCCTGTGAGACTCTTATCCCCAGCCACTCAAAACCTGGAAGTGGTGCTGTGGCTAAAAGTGGTAGGTAGAGCGCTCGCCTTGAGCTGAAGAGCTCAGGGACAGAGCCCAGGCCCAGAGTTCAAGCCCCACGACCGACCAAAATAAATAAATATAAACAAACAAATAACTAAGTGGATTGCTACTATAGTGAGGTCCCCCCACCACCACAAAGAAAAGTAAACAGAACAGGAGACAAGCTGACCATTTCCGTGTCTTCTTTCAAAATGCAAATCTCCTCCTAGGTCATGGTCCTTGGAAGACCTAGCTCTTGCCTCAGTCTACCTTTGGGAATTGCCAAGTTGTCCTGGCGGTTTTTAGGGTGGCAGAGAGCCTGCCCTCTTCCTCCTATTGAAACCCAAGTTGTCCAGAGAGAAAGCATTGGGGCGCTGGGTGTTGGTGTCGGCTTTATTGCTAGGGAGTCTCAAGAAGGGTTGGGGGGTGGGGGTGGCGCAAGGGTCCTGGTCCCCCAAGGTCCCTGAGCCATTGGGGACACACACGCACACATTCATACCGACAAATAAATACGGCCTGGAGCACGCGGACACCGCAGGGTTGGGGTCCGCCGGCTGGGCGTCCAGGCACCCTGGCAAGGCGAGCGGGCACCGGCCCCGCGGAGGCAGCCGGGTCCCGGGGCTCAGCTCAGCGCGCAGCGTTCCCGCCGGCTCAGCTGCCGGCTCAGCTTGCGGCGCCGCTGCCGCGCGCCAGGCGCTCGTCCTCCTCCAGGGCGCTGCCGGGCAGGAAGGGCTGCGATCAGTACCCCGCGCGGCCTCCGGGTCCAGTCCTCCGCCCAGCTGCCTCCCCAGCCTCCCGGCGCCACCGGGCCTCCACTCACATCCGCTCCTTGTGGTCCAGGTCACGGACCAGCTCATCCCGCTGGTTCACCAGGGATACCAGCTCCTTCAGCAGGAGCTGCTCCCGGTGCTGCTGTGCCACGGTTTTCTGCCAATCTGAGCAGCGGAGGAGCCAAGGTCAGCAGATGCCCAGCCTGGCCCTGGCCTGCCCCACGACCCTCCTGCCCCATCGCCCACCTTTGATTGCCAGCATGGCGCGCAGCTCCCGGCTCAGCAGTTCGAATCTCCGCTCCAGGTCCTGCTCCTCGATGCTGGGCCGCAGGGTGCCAAGTCAGGACAGGGGACGGGGGAGGGGGTGCCCCGCTCCTAGCACCCCGAGACCCATCCCACCTCCCTACCAGTTTGCTTAGAGGTTCCGGGCTGATCTCAGCATTATAGCTTAGTCCTCATTCATATTCCTTTATTTTGTTTCAACTAGTCTTTTGTTTTATTATTTTTATTATTATTATTATGTTCTTGTGGTCATGGGGCTTGAACTCTGGGCCTGGGCGCTGTCCCTCAGCACTTCAGCGCAAGGCAAGCACTCTAACACTTGAGCCACAGCGCCATTTCCAGTTTTCTGAGTGGTTTATTAGAGATAAGAGTCTCATGGACTTTCGTGCCTGAGCTGGCTTTGAATTGTGATCATCAGATCTCAGCCTCCTGAGCAGCTAGGATTACAGGCGTGAGCCACCATGCCAGGCTCCAAATAGCAGCTTTAACTAAAGTAAGCTACTACTTCTGGCCCGCTGTGACCCGCTGGGGACGGGGCCTTGTAGGGGCGGGGCCTTGCAGGTGGGGCGGAGCCTTTGCCGGCAGGGAGGGGAGGGGCCTTACTGGAAGCGTGGAGTGGGGCAGGACCCGGGTCACTGCAGCAGGTACTCACAGTAGCTGCAGCTGGTCCTGTCTACGGATGAGAGCGTTCTTCTTGTTGACCAGGGTGAACCACTCCTGGATCAGCATTTCCTCCTCCAGCTTGTTGACACCTGAATCAAGCCAGGACAATCACCAGGACTGCCTTCTGTCCCGGCTGAGCAACTAGGCATCTTGGAGAGCAGGCTTGCTGCTTCGAGGCATCCTGGATGCCTGCGCTGTGTGCCTCTAGCAAGTGTCTTCCCTACTCCGGGCTCGGCAGGGGACAATGGTTCCGGCTGTGCCTCTCAGTTCCTCCCACCCCCTTGTGTGGAGGAGGGAACCCCAGATGCCCACCCTACCTGATTCCATGAGGCTCCTCAGCTGTGTCTCCACCTCCGCTGCCCGCCCATCTATCTGTCTCTGCTCCTGTTCCAGGGCCTGCAGCTCCGCACACACATACTGACTTGTGTCCTGGAACCGTTGCTGGGGGAGTAGAAAGGGGTGCAGGGGAGGGTAGGCTCACCCCAGGCCTTGCCCAGAAAGACCCACACATCAGTCCTCCCCACTGAGCCCTCCTCACCAGTCCAGACTCCTCCCCTGGAATTAAGGGTACCTCCTCCTCTGAGGGGGGACTCCCACCTGCAGACAGAGATCAGGTTATAAGGCTCGTCTAACCCCCAAAGGCCCCAGACCAGGATTTGTGAGCAGCCTGAACTGAACTGGGTCACAGACCCTTCAAAACTACTCACCAGCGGGCTGCTGCAGGGCTGGGGCAGCCGGAGGGCCAGGGGCAGGGCTGGGGGCAGGGACCGGGCCTTCCTGCGGAGAAAGAGGCCACTGAGGCTGGGAGGAACTCCAGACAGCCCAGTCTGGGCCTAGCCAAAACTTCACACAGCAAAGGTAGGCAGGCTCCTCAATCCCCGACCCTGCCTTCCTGGGAGAAAGGGGCCTATGATGGCCCAGACCCTCACTCTATTCCACTGCCTAGAGTCCTGTACCCATCCATACTCACCTTTGCACCAAGTCCCTGACCTCACAGGGTCTCCTATCACCTAGTGCTGGCATCTCCAGTATGGTTAGAGTCTCCCAAGGTGACCCTTAGTAAGCCCCAAAGCAGCCACATCGCCCAAGCTAGGCTATCCAGAGCCAGGTCTTAAGCCAGCACATCCATACTCTGGCCAAAAGGGGGCGCCCTCCTGCTTTATGAGTTTCCACACCTAGGGAGCCAACTGCATTCCTCCCACAGCACCAAAACCAGACAGGTTGTATGGACCTGTGAGTTGAACAGCCGACAGGTCAGGGCTTGGGCCTGATGTGCCCCAGCTCCATCGGCTTTCTGGGACTGGCTCTCTGGGGACCCTCAGCTGACAGCTGGTGACCCTTGAAGATGCAGCTCTGATCATGCTTCTGGGCCATAGTGTTGAGTCCCCCAAACTCTGCCCCAACTTGCACCCCTCTGAGAGGCAGCTCTGGACAACCCTTTGTCAGGTGCTATAAGCTCTCGCTTGGGTCAGTGGTGTCCTCATTACCAGCTGCCATCACGACCTTCCCAAACCTTCACCAACGCTGTAACTCTCTGTAACCCTTTTATCGTCCAGCCTCACTGCCACGGCCTGGGGGTGGCTCCGCCTCCACTTGCCTCCTACTGCCCCTCTTCACTCCCCCCACCCGGCCCCTGAGACACTACACTCTGGTCATACTGATGACTTTCACTTCCCTAAAACCTTCTTCAGGCTCCATCTTGAGCTACTCTAACCAACTTGACCTGCACAGCCCGGCACAGCCGAGCTAGGGCCTGCGCAGGCGCCTCAGGCTCCCATACCTCTTTTAGCCTTGCTTCCTGAACTTCTTGCCTCTGGAAGCAAGTCTTAATTTTTTTTTTTTTTTTTGGTCAGTCATGGGGCTTGAACTTAGGGCCTGGGTGCTGTCCCTGAGCTCTTTCACACAAGGCTAGCGCTCTACTACTTTGAGCCACAGTATACTTCCAACTTTCTGGTGGTTCACTGGAGATAAGAGTCACAACTTTCCCACCTGTGCTGGCTTTGAACTGTGACCCTCAGATCTCAGCCTCTTGAGTAGCTAGGATGAGAGGCGTGAGCCACCAGTGCCAGGGAAGGTCTGAACCTTGATTCTGAGGGTGGGTAGTAGCTTTGCCAGGGCCCCTGGTGACAGTCCCCACCCCCACCCCACCCATGCTGGTGGTTGTGAATGACTTCCTGCCCAGAGGTAATCTCTTCAGATTGGCCTAGCTTTTGCACCCAGGGAACACTGACAAATAATAATGCTACTATCGTCTAAGCATTTATGTTTCAGGCACTTTTTCTGTGCCAGTACTGAGACTTGAACTCAGGGCCTGGGCATTGTTCCTTAGCTTTTTTTTTTTCCTCAGAGTTGGTGTTCTACCATTTCTGGCTTTGGTGTTAATTGGAGATAAGAGTCTCGTGGACTGACGGGCCTGGCTCCACACTGGGATGTTCAGATCTTAGCCTCATGTGTAGCTAGGAATACAGAGGTGAGCCGCCAGTGCCTGGCCACTCTCCTTTTGGGAGATGCCCAGGCCCTGAGCTCAAGCCCCAGGACTGGCCAAAGAAAAGAGCAGAGAGAGTCACAGTCCAGAGTCACAGTCAGTCGAAAGAGCTGGGCCCAGCACAGGGTGCCAATGAACACTCAGGCTTACCGAACTGGGCTTTTATCTTTCCTCTCCCTGAACAGAAGTGTCCCACATGTAAAACGGGATGACAATCCCCTCCCCTTGGAAGGGGCATTCTAAGGAGCCAAGGGCTGCTGGAGAAAGGCCAACCATAAAGAGAGGGCCTAAAGCCGGGTCTCAGTGGCTCACGCCTGTAATCCTAACTACTCAGGAGGCTGAGATCTGAGGATCACAGTTCAAAGCCAGCCCAGGCATGAAAGTCTGTGAGACTCTTATTTCCAATTAACCACTAGAAAACCAGAAGTAGTGCTGTGGCTCAAGCAGTAGAGTACTTGCCTTAAGCTGAAGAGCTCAGGGACAGAGCCCAAACTCAGAGTTCAAGCTACATGCTAACAAAAAATAAAATAAAACAGAGAGCCTACCCAACAGGTAGGAGATAGAAAAGGCCAACTTCAAGCTGGGAGCTGTTGGCTCACGCCTGTAATCCTAGCTGCTCAGGAGACTGAGATCTGAAGATTACACTTCAAAACCAACCCAGGCAGGAAAGTCTGTGAAACTCTTATCTCCAATTAACCCCCAGAAAACTGGAAGTGATGCTGTGGCTCAAAGTGGTAGAGCGCTAGCCTTGAGCAAAAAGAGCTCAGGGATAGCGCCCAGTCCCCAAGTTCAAGCCCCACAACCAAAAAAAAAAAAAAAAAAGGCCAACTTCAGCAACAATCGAGCTGACTCATGCCAACCTCGATGGGAATCCCAGTGCTTCCTCCTCAGGCCTGACTCAATTCCTCTTTCAGTCCTCTCATGTATGGTCCCTCCTCCAGGAAGCCCTGTGGGTTGTGCCCGCAACAGGCTGCTCTTTGCACGGCGTTGTCATGAGAATGTGCCTGACCTCAACCCACTCTAGGCCTTTGGGAGCTTCCAAGGGTGCAGCCAAGCCATGTCACCTCCCACTTGGGAGGGTGTTGGGGGCACAGCCAATGAGGAGAAGGGTCAAGTATCTCTTGTGGGGCAGAGGCTAGAGGAGGGCTTGCCTCAGAGGCCCAGAGGTTGGGAGGCAGAACAAAGCATGTAGGATGGGAAGAGCCTCTGCTTTATGACTGAAAGAACGCCACGAGGCCGAGCACTGGTGGCTCATACCTGTAATCCTAGCTATTCAGGAGGCTGAGATCTGAGGATCACAGTTCAAAGCCAGCCAAGACAGGAAAGTCTGTGAGACTTTTATCTACAATTAACCACCAGGAAACCAGAAGCGGCACTGTGGCTCAAGTGGTAGAGTGCTTGCCTTGAGCTGAAGAGCTGAGGGACAGCGCCCAGGCGCAGAGTTCAAGCCCCACAACCGACCAAAAACCTCCATGACAACTGGGCACCAGTGGCTCACACCTGAATCTTAGATATGCAGAAGGCTGAAATCTGAGGATCACAGTTTGAAATCTGTCAAAATCTGAGCAGACAAATCATGTGGTTCAAGTGGTATAGTGTCCAGCCTTGAGCGAAAAATGCTAAGGGACAGGGCCCAGGCCCTGAGTTTAAGGCACAGTGCAATTCCATGACATACGTAAACTGACTGGGCTAGAAGTGGCTGTATTTCACTGGCCTAAAGCATCCCCTAAGACATGCCCCTGGTGCCCTTCACGGTCTCATCTGTAACCTCAGCCCTGTGTCTCTGAGCCCGCACTGGGGCCTCTTGCTCTCAGCCTGGCTTCCCCACCATCTGGAAGCCTTTGGGAGATGGCTGGCAGTTCCCTACTGAGCCCCACACTTCCCTAATGTTGCATGATTCCTTGCGAAAGTCCCTCTACTTGAGCACCACCCCCTCCCATCTTCTCAACTAGCTCAGATGGCCACTGCTGTTTCCAAAAAGCCTTTCTCAATTACTCCTTCCTTTCCTCCAAGCTCAGCATCTATCACTGGACAGCTGTGGGTATCATGCCTGAAAGCTGCCCTGTGACCTGGACCTCCGGGGCTGCGAGACCCTGCCCGATCCGGCTCCCTTCAAGACCCTGCCCGATCCTGCTCCCTTCAAGACTACTCGGCACAGTGACAGGACTCCCTGCGCAAGTCATCTGAGCTCTGTGCAAAGGGGGGAGGGGGCATGCCCCAGAAGGCTGTCCCACCTCCAACCTCCACTATAGGAAAAGAGGAAACTGGTCTCCAGCAGCTGGAGTTAAAGATTCAAAGCAGAGAACACAAAGGATGGCTTAAGTGGCAGAGTACCCGCCTGGCAAGCAAAAGTTCTGGTATGCCGGGTGGGGGTGATCCTAGCTACTCAGGAGGCTGAGATCTGAGGATCGCAGTTCAAAGCCAACCTGGGCAGGAAAGTCTGAGACTCTTATCTCCAATTAATCACAGCAAAAGTCAGAAGTGGTATTGTGGCTCAAAGTGTTAGCTCACTAGCCTTGAGTGAAAAAGCTCAGGGACAGTGCTCAGGCTCTGAGTTCAACCCCCACGACCAACAAAACAACACAAAAGGCCTGGAGTTCAAACCCAAAAACCACTAAGAACAAGAAAGAAAAGGGGAAGGGAGGGAAGGAAGGAGAGAGGAGAAAAGGAAGGAAGGAAGGAAGAAAGAAAGAAAGAAAGAAAGAAAGAAAGAAAGAAAGAAAGAAAGAAAGAAAGAAAGAAAGAAAGGAAAGGAAAGGAAAGGCAGGAAGAGAGGAAGAAGGAAGAGAGGGAGGGAGGGAGGAAGAGAGGTAAGGAAGGAGCAATCTGAGCACCTGTGACTCACACTTGTAGTCCTAGCTATTCAAGAGGGTGAATTCTGATGATCATGGTTCAAAACCAGCCCAAGTAGGAAAATCCAAGTAGCCACCAAAAAGCTAGAAGTAGAGCTGTGGCTCAAGTGGTAGAGCAGCAGCACTGAGCAAGAAAACTGAAAAAGCACAAGGCTTTGAGTTCAAACCCAGTACTAGTACTTTTTTTTTTTAAAAAGACAGCCAACAGGCTGGGAAAAGATCTTTAATGCCAATACATCTGCCAAAGTCCTAAAATCCAAATACAGAAGGAGTTCAAGAAACTAACCCCTCTCAAAGCTAATAAACCAATCACTAAATGGGCAAAGGAGCTAAGGAGAGACTTCTCAGAAGAAGGGATAAGAATGGGAAAGAATCTCAGAAAGGGTAAGAATGGGAAAGAAACACCTGAGGAAATGCTCATCATCCCTAGCCATAAGGAAATGCAAATCAAAACAATGTTGAGATCCCATCTCGTCCCCAGGGCCAACATTGTGAATTCAAACAACAAATGTTGGTGGGGATGTGGAGAGAGGAACCCTACTGCACTGTGGGTGGGAATGAGGACTATTGCAACCATTGCTGACAGCAAAAACAAACAGACATAGATTTCCCCTACAGAACATTACAAGTCACGGTACTGTCAAGACCCTTGTACATCCGTGTTCATTGCTGACTATTCACAATCGCCAAGTTATAGAAACAGCCTAGATGCTCTACGATGGATGACTGAATCCAAAAAAATATGTGCCTAGTGGAACTTTACACAGCCATTAGAAAGAATAACAGTATGTCATTTGCAGGGAAACCCAGCAACCTAGAACAAATCATGCTAAGTGAAGTAAGCCAAGCTCAGAGAGACAAAAGGTGTATGTTTTCTCTCAAATGCAGAAGCTAGGCCTAAAATACACTGGGACATGATCCATTCTATAGGTCTCTAGGCATTCACACACAGTGAGACCAAAGGAAGGATGGAACACAAAGCTGCAAAGCCTATGTGTCTTTGACCATATAAAACAATATTTATCGAAATGAACTCCAGGAAATGGAAGCGATAAATAAACAGATAAATAAATAAACAAATGCACTGCCAGGCACCCATGGCTCTCTCGCCTGTAATCCTAGCGACTCAGGAGGCTGAGATCTGAGGATCTCAGTGGTTCAGGGCCAGGCAGGAGAGACCGTGAGATTCTTATCTCCAATAAACCACCAGAAAACCAGAAGTGGTGCTGTGGCTCAGGCGGTAAAGCGCTCGCCTTGAGCTAAAGAGCTGAGGGACAGCGCCCAGACCCAGAGTTCAAGCCCCACGACCGACCAAAAGAAAAAAAAAGCCAGCAGTAGTTCAGGTAGAGCCCGGCCTCGAGCTCTGTCTGCCGGGCCCGAGCGGCCTCGGCGGGGCACTCACCGCAGGCCCGGCCCCCGCGGCCCCCGCGTCCGGCTCATCCGCCGAGAAGGAGTTGCTGCTCCGCAGCCTCGAGCGCCTCTTCTTCAGGAGATCCGCGTCCCGCACGTGGGAAAAGGAGCCGTGCGCCCGGGGCGGCGGCACCGGCCCCGCCTCCCCGTTCACCGA